GGCACATCATTCGGAAACAGTAAGTTGCTGAGCATTTGTTGTCTGCCCTGTGGAAACCATTTGCAACACAGCCTTGGACTGACCCAGTTGTGGGTGGGATCCAGGTCACAGGGTGCCTACATATGGACATGTGATACTGAGCTCTCGTTATAGTTAATGAAATTAGGCAGTAGGGCCAAGAGGGTGATTCAGTTGACCAGGCACAAGTAGAAAGAGCTGAATTCCTCTTCCTACTGCTGGCCGCATTAGCTAAGACCAGGATTCAGTTGCCTACGCACAAGCACCTAATGTTATCTGAGATACCTTCAGGGTTCCTGATGTGATAGGAGACATGACTTACAACCTCCAGAAGACCTTCACCTGCACATTAACAGCTAGTAGCCATGTTGGACACCCTACAGCACTAGGCACCTGTTTAGGCAATGGGATCACTTCCAAAACCTCCATTCATTGTAGCAAGAGCTGAAATTTGTAGGGCAAGATTTGGTTGCTAGAATATTGGCGTGAAGTATCTGCCCTATTAGGCACTGTCCTGCCAGACCTCTGGGTAGCACTCCCAAGGCTGGGGGTTTCTGATGATCCTCTGTCATGTCTGCCACCCCATGCGGTTTTTCTGGATGCCCGAGAGCGTCTCAAGGGGCCTGAGAACTTCTGTGTGGGCAGCTGGACTGAGCCCTTCCTTTGGTTCATCTCTGCTAGGCTTCTCATATCTGTGAAGAAAGAAAGCAACGTTACTGTCACCGTGGGTGAGGAGATGTCCTTCATGGTTTTGCTGCACCGCGTGTGGAAGAATCACCCAGTTAATGTTGACTTCCTGGGAATCTACATTCCCCCTGAGAACCAGCTCTCTCCAGAAGCCCATGGGCTGATAGGTAAGGGCTGCGGGTCGGGCGGTGGGAATGGCGGGGTGCTAAGAAGGGGTTTTGCGAGATCTTTGAGTAAATCTGTTGGTGTCTGTGTCCTGATGGGGAAGTGTGAGAGAATTATTCAAATGGAACATGGGGGAGATTCCTGCAACGTCCTGGAAGCCCCAAGGACATTGTAGAATGTCAGGGACTGAAGCAACACACCCCCCAACCCCCCCCCAAAACCTTCTTTCTGAGAAAACTTCTGGGCAAACCTTTGTAATTCAGCTCTCCCCTCAACGATAGCCCTTTTCTGCCAATGGTACGAAACAAAAGTGAAGCGAGGGCTCAGTTCACAGGGAAAATCAGCCCTCCTCACCCTGGACCCACCCAAGGATCCTTTTAAGACGTGGGAATGCGGAGCGGCAGAGGTTGTTTCCCCAAATACTCTTCACAGCTCCAGTCTGCTCTCTTAGAAGCAGTTTGCTGGCTGAAAAGCAGAGCGTTCTACTCTCCCAGCATGGGTGATCCGATAGCGCTGGAGACACGGCGCCCTGCAATCCGGGCAGGAGTGGTTTGCCTGCTACAGCTAGTTTGATTTTCCAAAAGCGCCCAGCAGCAACTGACATGAAAGCCTCAAAGGTTCGGACATGCAAAGAGCTTTAAACCTCTCTTTGATCAGGTCAGTTTGCGTCTGAGCCAGAAGTGTATATCCACCACCAAAGACCTGGGCAAGCTCCAGAGAAACCACAAGCCACCATGGAAGTGAAAGGCAACAAGCTGACTGTTACCAGGTAGGAATAATGTGCTTTATTGCTCTCTTTCTAAATCTGACTTCTTTTTAATGATGTCAATGACTGCAGGCTTATTAACTCTCAGGGACCTCGGGGAAAAGAATCCCTCTTTTCCCATCTGCTAATAATCTGGTTTTAGCACTTGGCAAAATGCTCGGGACAAATTGGGTTCTTTCGTATTTCATAGAATCATAGAATGGTTTGGGTTGGAACGGACCTTGAAGATCATCGAGTTCCAACCCCCCTGCCATGGGCAGGGACACCTCCCACTAGACCAGGTTGCCCAAGGCCCCATCCAACCTGGCCTTGAACACCTCCAGGGATGGGGCAGCCACAACTTCTCTGGGCAACCTGTTCTATTGCCTCACCACCCTCAGTGAAAAATTTCTTCCTAATATCTAATCTAAATCTCCCCTCTTACAGTTTGAAGCCATTCCCCATCGTCCTGTCACTATTTGTCCAGGTTCTGTCCTTATGGCCACCCAGCATCTGAGCTTGGACAGGGCGTGCAGAAGTGCCTGGGACCCCCCAAAAGGGCCCATGAGGTCATAGAACCATAAAATTAATTGCATGTTGTGGTTGTTTCCACTCTCTGCTGGTGGAAGGCACACACCTCTCCACTTCAGCAGAGCAGCGCCACGAACGAGCAGGGTTATCCATGTCTTCTTGTCATGTCGTGACCTTCATTCTGGGTGGTCTCTTCCTTGCAGGGGATTGCAGAAGGACTACCGGACGGACCGTGTGCTCGGGACGGATGTGCAGTGCTGGTTTGTGCACAACAGCGGGAAAGGTTTCATAGACGGCCACTACAAAGATTACCTCGTCCCCCACCTGTACAGCTTCCTGAAGAAACCCTGACTGCTCCAACACGAAACCAGTTTATTCCAAAAATTTCTTATCGGCTCCTTCATGCCCAAACAACCCTTCGGAACAGCAGCTGTCAGCCTATCAAGCCGGATCAACCGAAGGCGACTTCACCACCGTTTGCTTTATAATTGATGAGCGTTTCAAAGCAATGTAACTCCCTTTTACGTTGAAAAATGAAATCTGTAATAAAGTGACGTGCTGGGTTGTAGTAGGTATCTTCCTCTTGCTGTGTCTGATTTATCAGATGGTAAACTCCATTAAAAATGTCAACTATTTTGTAATATCCATTTCCTAGTAGGGTCATAACAGTATTGCGGCCTGCAGTGCAGGTAACACACGCGACCAGATTTAACACTTAACACCTTTGCTTTTTCAAACTGCTGGGAAAATGTAAGTTCATACATTGCTGGACTGGGCAAAAAGGAAGATGTGCATTAGATGTAAAGGAAATATAACAGAAAAGGAACATGGGCTCTGCAACGAGGAGTCTCCAGTCTTTAAGGATGGGTTAACAGGCGGTGAGGAATTTCTTTGAAATAACTGATGCTGCTACATGGCAGGAAAATGAATGACAGGAGTCTTGAGACAGCCTCCAGCCTATTTTTTGTGAAAATTTCAACATCACAGTGGAGTTCACACACAGATACAAATCTGGGAAAGCATGAAACATTCAGATTATATAGAAATCACCATTAGTACTAAAAGCTTCCCCTCCGGTAGGATATCTCCCAAAAGATGCTGTGCTCTTCAAGATTATTCAGCGAACTATCAGTAGTGAAACAAATATGCATGTACCTAGAGCCACATTAAAAACTCTTACTTTCCGGCAACCCTAAGAAAAAAATGTTGGCCAGATTCTTCTCAGCAGCCCTAATCTAGGAAGGGACTGAGTAACCTACTTGCCATTCTGGACTTTAGTTTCCTTCTCTTAGGAACCAAAGGCTGGTACCTCACCTTTCCTGCAGCCGTGGTGTCGGGAGTGAGAGGATCAATGTGTTTTCAGTGTCTCTTCAAAGTAACTCTCAGAAACATAAGCAACTTCCCTACAAACCATTCACTGTTCCTTTGAACTCATTTATTAGCTTTGGCCTCCACCACATCCTGCAGCAGTGAGTTCCACAGCTTAACTATGCTCTGTGGGAGCCAGAAAAACCTGTTGACTGTGCTTTTAAATCCCCAACTTGGTAATTCCACTGTCTGTTTCCTAGCTCGTATGTGAATACAAGCAGTGCATAATAATGCTCTGGTTTTCTCCACGCAATTTGCATCTTAACATGTCTGTTACATTCACTTTATTTTTTTTTTTCAGGCTCCAGAATGTTAAGTGTAATTGCTTTAGTGATACAGAAGCCGTTATGTTCCTTCACTTACCCTCATTTCTCTCCCCCATACCTCTGCTCACTCAGTACCTGTTCTCTGAGAAAGAGCAGAGCTGTTTACACAATCCAGGTTGCACAAAGAGCCTGAATTTACAGACAAGCATGTCTTTTCTCTCCAGTTCCCTTCCTCTTAGTTCTCCATCCGTTAGATACTGCGTTACTGCTTGACTCTGCCTTACATTTACAGCTGGGATCCCTGGAAAGCCATTTGACGTCCCGTGTGAGGTTATTTCAGGCTACTCCAGACAGCAGCTGTTTCACTAAGCCTCTGCAGTCTTTCAGTTTTCCTGCAGGGGTCCCCTGGAAACCACAAATCAACAAGACAGTGACCTTTTGAGGCAAGGAGAGGGACAGGTAACAATGATTTTTGCCTCTAGTGACCTTGAACTTTTACCCTGCAACATAACCGACCGTGCCCACCAGGACAGCATCCTGTCCTCTTCAGCCCTTGCCTGAGATCTCCTCTGAAGAGCACAGGTGATATCGGTTCCAGAGACACACGACCTCACCAGGGGCAGACAGGACCATCAGGGGACAGTTTGTATTTTGCCGGGGAGGACTTGCATCTTTCCTTTACATGAACAAGGCAGTGCAGAGCTGGGCGCTCCACTGTGCTCTTCAGTGGATATAAACCAAGAGACGCCTCACGCGTTTGAAAGGCTGATCAGAAATACTCTGACCTAAGAAAAGTTTATGTTTATTCCCGAACTGCCTTAAACATTGTACAAAATGTGACATCTTTTAAAAAAATAAAAAAGTAATGTTACATCATTTAGCATGAATAATGTTACTCATGTAGCAGAGCAACAATGGAAGCATGAACAACGGAAAAGGCTCCGGAAAACCAAACCAGCAATCACCAATTCGCATCTGCACGCACTTTGGGAAACCCAACAAGTAACATTATTTGGAGTCCATATGAAGGTAAATTGCATATTAGTATTACTAGGAACCCTGACAAACAAGATAATGGAGGAACGATGACCGGATTCTGGTCTCGCTGATGCGCTAACCAAAAATAAGTTGGTGACAGCACTGAATAAACCAGACCATTCTTACAAAATGCAGGAAAATAATCCCTTGCGGCACTCTTACCTTCCTGCTATTCTCCTAATCCCTTCCCTTGTTCCTGCAGCCAGAACTCAATTTTGGCTGCAGATTGAGAAGTGTGTTGTTTAAACCCCACTGGCTCCAACACATGCTGCCTGCCTCCAGCAGCTATTTGTAGGTAATTCTCTCTCTTACAGAACTCCTAACATACTTCAGTAAATAAAATACTCCAGCTCGCAGCTATCTGCTGCATTTTATGAAAGGAAATTGAACCAAATATTATAACATAACTTTGATATAGAAACAGATGAAATATTTCCACTGATAAGATTTCCACAAACGCTTTATGTAACAAATCCATAGTGATCTTTAAATAAATCCAGTTTGCTTGTGGTTAATTTTTATATACATTATAAATACATACACACACACGCAGTTAAAACCCTGACATGGTAGAGTCTTGTGGCTGCCTGCAAGATGCCAGAAAGATGTTTTTGGGAACCAAAATCTTCTCTGATCCACGATTAGCGCCTCAGGCGAGTTTGGAAATGTCTTCGTACTGGATATCTTCAACTCGGCGTCCTTTTAAAGGTCCCTGGAGAATAACATAGCAGAAGAAATAAGATCAAAATATAAACTTGCTTGTTTGTTGAATTCCCTATAGGGAGCTTAAAGTAAGACGGCTAAAGGGACTGTATGGAATCCCGCCACATTCAGAAATTTTTCAAGAAGCACAACTAAAGCAAATAGCACTGGAAATCACAGGTGTTAGTGTTTTTACTCAGTGCTGCACACAGTAAAAGCCCGACAGCTACTTTTCTGTTTAAGTGCTCTGTCCAAAAGCCACCCAAAACTCCACATTGGAGGCTGTACAGGGGATGCATAGTGGGATGCATCCAAAAACATGCAGGTTTGGGATTTGCTCACAACAGAATGATTTCCATTTCATTATTTTCAACCTGACCACAGCATGTGACAGGGCCTCAACACTGTCCCTGAACTCTCAGGAAACTTTTGGTGTCAGTTAAAGTCCTTGCAATTTTTGGGCAAACATAAGCAGTTGTTTTGAATTAATTCACTGTAAACTTCTAAGTTGTAAAAGATTTAATTTTGAATACAAATTTCTTATATATAAATATCCTGGTCACCTCACAATCAATAAAAAAATTCTCACAGACTTCTCTGGTTTCCCGGAGTAGTTTCACCCATTTTTAATTTATAGACTCAGAGTTCATGCAGGAAGGGGAAATCTTAACACAAGCATGAGAACTAGAGAAAAACCACTCTTGCTTTCCAAGACCAATGTTGGCATGATCCTTAGCTCCCACCAAAGCTCCTTCTGTGGTCAGAACATCTGCACAGTCGCTTCTCAAGCAAAGTCTCCAGAATCCAATATGGGCTGAGTTTCTGCAGCCCTTCTTTGCATGGGATCCTAACAGGGTCTCCGTCCTGCAAGCTGCGTTTAAGAAATTTGACTTTGAGCCAATATTCTCTCTGCTGTATCAATGAGTTTAAAGATTGGTTTTGCAGAAGAGAACAAAGTAGCCACACAGACGCGATGACATGGCCTAATTTCAGCCCAGAGAAAGGTGATACGCAAAAAAAACCCAAACCCAAAACCAAAAAAACCAACCAGAATTGTTAACCATAAACAAGACAACAAATAAACAGATAAAGCCCCATGTTCAGTCAGGAAAAGGCAGGAGGGAATTCACCTCCTTGCATATTTCACATTTTTGATCTTCCCACAAAATAGTACAACAGCAGCCACATTCAAAATAAACATACAGAATATTTTGCAAGTCTCTTTCAAGTTCAAAACTTGCTAAATACAGCAACCTGGCATCTTTTTAAAGGCAAACAGCAGAGCATTAGTCTGCAATGGGGAATATGTGGCTGTTTTCCTACCGGTTGGGAATAGGTGGGAGGTGACCACAGCACTTTGCACACCATAAATCCCACCTGTAAGACAGGATTAATGACACCATCTTTCTTTGTGAAAGCTCTCCAATGCACAGATGAAAAGCACTTTACGCAAACGAGGTCTTGCAGTGTTTGATACTTACAGAGTCAATGATTATTGTCGCTGAAAACCTCTTTTCATTGATGGATTCCAAGATGCCTTCGTTTCCCCTGTAACCACCATTTAATACCATCACTTTCTTGCCTGAAATGAGAAACAGGAAAACAGTTACACAACAGGGCTCCCAACTGCTTTTGAGGGAGTTGTGTTCGATTCCACCGACAGCTGAGGGAGAGACAGTTTCTTCCAGCAGCTCCAGCAAGCAGCACCCAGCTTTGCCTCACAGCCTGCCCATTTCCAAAGTGCACCTAGCTTTACGGCTCCAGGCTACTATGGGCAGAAAACATTAAAAACCACATCAGGGAAAGAAGCCAAAGCTGTTTCTCCCACGTCTCATTCCCTGGACACCAATCCTAGCGCAAGGGTGAGCACTAACCTACAGGTACCATTATGCTAAACAGCACTCACGGACACCACCAACCAGCTCTTCACCGGAATGCAGCAGGTCTGCTGAAGAATGTGTGAATCCCAAAATCCTGCATCCTGTTTCCCCCTATGCTGACACTGTTCTGCTTACTGCTACCCTGACCATTCCCTGAAATACCCATCAGATGCTACAGACAAACATCAGTGTGTACCACTCAAAGAAACGCCAGGAGACGAGATAAGCTTTGCCAAACACCCACAGCTATTTGAGGCCTGATCTGGAGGGAAGATACAGGATAAATATGACTAAGGGCTCTGTAGGGCTCCCAGAGATGCTTCCTGGCAGCTGCAGAGAGAGATGCCTTCATCTTGTCAAATGAACTGATTCCTAAAGCACTTGTGTCTTCTCAGAAAAGAACCTAATTCTTACAAGAAGGGACTGCGAAGACTCAAAGCCGAAGCAATGTAATAATTCCCTGGAAACTAACAAGAGGATATTTGGTAAATGATCAGAGTAGCTTACAAAATGCTGTCCCAAGACCAAGATGGCTTTTGTTATGGTACTTTCAAGTGGATGAATTATAGTTTAAAAGAACCGAAATATAAATTTTGCAGGTACAGCTAAGCTGAAAAACAAACAAAACAGTCGTACCTGGTGCTGGTATTACAGTTTCTAGATGCGTCTGATCAAGCTTCAGTTTGTCTCCAGAATCAATCATCTTCACAACTGCTGTGTATTTGTCAATCACCTCCTGTCGTGAAAGGCAGAGGCCAATCAGAAAAATGAAAAAAAAAAAAATTCTCTAAATTTACATTTCAAAATTAACAAACTCAGGACCACAAGTCTGCACTTCTGCATTTTCCAAAGCAGAAAGGACTTCTGAGCTGTCCTAAAGGCACCCAGCTTTCACAAACTGCTGACCACTCTGAAGTTCAGGCTGGATTAAAAGGGCTCCTCTTGAACATCAGTGACTGGTGTAATTGACCACTAATTTTGTCAGCCTTTTCTGAAGGTTTTTTCAACCTTTGGGTCAGCTATCTTAGCTATTGTCTTACAGACCAAGCGTAAATTAGAGGCTTCTTTCCCCCTAAGGGCTGGAAGCCACACAGTGACAACGGGGATGCCACTTCCCCATGGGGCAAAATGTTACTGACCATCTTTGCGCCTCGCATAAACCACGTTCCACCTCTCACATTCAGAGCTCAATCGAAGACAGACATTGGGACTCATAAACCCTGCCAGGACTCTATCAAAAAAAGCTGTGATTTTCAGCTCTATACACTTGTGTTGATCATTCAAAACACACCTGGGTGTCATCTTCGGCACTCTTGCCAGAGACTGAGCCTTGGGCTACCTCATACAACATCATTTCACTGGCAGTGGCTAAAAGAAAGCACCATCGAACAACAGAGCAAGGCTTACAGCCTGAAGATTTCATACGTGAATGGGATCTTGTTCAAAGGCAACCTGCAGCTGAAATATCAGCGCAAAACTGCCTAGTCTGAGATTAAAATGCAATTGCACTGCTCTTGGTCATATCACATTGACAAAGTGACTATTCACCAAGATGGATGCATTCATAGGGACAAATGAAGCAGGACAAAACAATGCTTAAGAAGGAATCCCTGAATAAATAACATTAAACCAAATCAAAGATTCACTCCCTGCCCAGAATAAGTCCCAGTAAAGTTAGGGTGATGTTTCAACCCCTATCAGTGTTGACTTAAGGCTGAACAACTTGCGCAATGAAACAAAACTTCAGAAGTTCTCTGACAGCAGAAAAGCCTAGTCATCTGCACATTTTACCTTGACAACTGCCTTCTTCTTGTGATATTTCTCTCCAAGCTTTTTTGTTACAATTTTTACAATGATTTCCTGGAAGATACGAAAGGAGAAAAAAAATAAAATGCCAAAATATACAAACAACTACACAATCTAATGTACTTGCACTTTCAGGTCATTCACTCTGATCCAACCACAGACTGTACAGCACAGTGCAGGAAGCAACAATAGTAAAGACTCAGCATTCATGAACTTGTCTTTATTCCTGAATTATTGCCTCAAAGTAGTATCTCTCAAGGCCTTTCTGTTTTAGCAAATGCAGTTACGCTTGAATTCACGATATGATGTGACAGCCCACAAAGGGTCAAGGGCAGGACTACTTGATCTAGAAGCCCAGTCAGTGAGTAGAAGCTGAGATGAGGTCTCTCAGCTCAAAGGCTGATGTTGACTTCTACATCTCTGTGCAAAACAATGACTATGTAGAAACAAGAGGGCTGTAAGTAATATCATGATTTAAACATGATCTGTAGAGACTCACAGTACCAACTCTTTAATTAGAAAATTCCACCCCATCTGAGATCAGGCATACAATGCGTCAGACTGCAGATCATGCTCAACCAGAAGAGTAATTCCTTCCAGATACTGTAATATTTCACATTTGGCAGCTTGGAAAATAAGAGTGAATTTAGCTTGGAATTTTCTTTTGGATCTTTACACAAATCAACAGCAGCTTTAGAGATGAAGAATTGATTGTATTTGGTATAATAATAATAATAATAATAATTTTTAAGACACTTACAGGCTGCAACCAGTAGTCTCTTCGAGATGTTCTTTTTTTCTCCTCTTCAAGCTACAGAACAACAACAAAAAATCACCATTTACTTCCTCCTTTCACTGCAGCTTTCCCATGCCTTTGAAAAGCTGAACCAATTCTCCAGGCCCACATCAAGTGGGAAATAAAAAAAATAGCCCTAAATAAGGGTAAGTCAGAGTGCGCTTGCTGCATAAAAATCAAACTGATGAGATCCAGGAATCCATGATAAAATGATGGAGATTTGTATTTGGTTTTGTAAAGTGTTTCTAGATATTTTCTTATCTTCCAAAATCTGTATTCTTTTACTTCCAACATCTCAGTCGTCTGAGGAATAGGCACAGATGAGCAGCAGAAACCAGTTTTAAAGGGGAAGTGATATCATTTTGCCTGATAAGATATAAAAGTCTGAATTCCACACGAACTGAAGGTCTGACGTCACTTCAAAGGCATGCCCTGGTAAAGTGGACAGTCATAGGCATGGGGTTATAAAGACACAGATCCTGCATGATTTTTACCTCCATAATCTCATCCAGTGCGGATTTCTTCTTTTTCTCTTTGGACTGACCAGAGCTATGAGCTGATTCTTTCCTTTTAACTGCCCCTTCCACCGTCTTCAGTGCATTCGGTCCAAGGACACTGCTGGAAGAGTAAGATGGTGTTTTCACAGCAGACCTTAAACTGTCTCCTCTACCAAGATGCATTTGAAGAGCTGGTGGTGCAAAAAGGCCTGCTGATCTATTTAATTTCGGTTGTGCAAGTCACCTTCCAGGCCCTGCATACCTCCTTCTCTAGGATTGCATTTGGCAGCTAGAACTGATCTCCTTGACGTGTAAACTCCATATCCACTGGCGTTTGCTGCTAGCAGTCCAGCAGAATGAAAACAACCTAACGACTGGTTCACCAGGGCAAAAGCAAAGAGTTCATCAGGGACTCGAGTTCAATGGAGAAGACAAAAGCAAACCTGCAAATAAGGCTTTCAAATTTGAAAGGACAAACTTGCGGCTTTAGAGAAGCCACCTGGACAGAGCAACTCTCAGACATGGCAGATGTCTAGAACTCCTTCCAGAGATACTTAACCTATCCTTCAGAGGGAGAAAATACATGGGAATCTGCAGAAAAGGGCTCCGCACCCAGCAAAAAAACCACCATCTTCACAATCATATTCAAAATAGACAAACAGCCTACGAGTTATGAAAGAAAAGAGCAATCAGCACAAAAAGTTACATCTCAGGGACCAGGGAACATCTAGGTAAAGTGAGAACTGCCTAAAGGCAGCCTGAGTTAAGCCATTTTTATAAAAGACATTTGAATGCAGTAAAAAAATTTAGGTATTCTCTCATCCAGAAAGATGAAGGCTGCGGTGAGGTGGATAGTAAGGTAATATTCATATGGCCTTACAATAAATCACGTGTTCTGCCTGTGGTGAGGACATTCGATGTACTAGCAAGGGGAAGATGCATAATGGGAATGAAGATCCAGAAATGGCAGAAGAAACAACACTGAGAGAAAAATAATTGTATTTCAGAGGAAGACTGGATAATCTCCATAGCAGAGTTCTAGAAGAAAAAGCACATTAAATCACAAATCCAATAGCAAGTACTTAAAGTAAAATCTCATAAAGGGTAACATACAATTAAAACATAACAACTGCAGTGCCTACATTTAAGAAGGAAAATACATCTAGCTGTGAGGATACTAAGGGATTCCTGGGTGTTAATACTAAACCAAATCTTATTTACCATATTCATTAAGGACCCTGGGACAAAAAGTGAGAGACCACCAACGCTGTTCAGGTGTGCCATTCAATGGGGAAGATACAAGAAAGAAATGGACACCAGAAGGGACTGGTTTATCTTGAAAACCATGTTTTAAAAATCGACAAAATGCAACAGCACATTATGCAAGCTCACACACTTTGGAAAAGTCTGCTCTGATTACCTTCTATCTACTGGGAGCTGTTTAAGAACAACAAAAGCAGAAAGGGGTCTGGCTATAATCACAGATGACAGCTACCAGTGTGGACCAGCCATGAAAGAGTCAAATGCAATCCTAGGAGGCATCAAGACAGACAAGCGTTAGTGCCTTATATAAGCCATAGTGCCGTTTCATTTGCAGCATGCACAAATTCCATCAGCTCCCCTCCTCAAGATTAGCTGAAACTGGAACAAGGACAAGGAAGGGATATTGAGCGGATAAGGGGAATGGGGATATGAGGCCAGCACTGTGTAAGCCTGCTTGCACAGCACAGTGAAGGCTGAGAGGCTAAAACTGTTCTCTGCAAATACATTGGCTGAGAAAGCAAAGACCAGGGAGAAAAATAACTATTTTTGTTAAACGCCCATACCAACACAAGAGCTACTGATATAAACTGGCTCTGACAATATTTACCTGGGAAATTAAAGACAAGGTCTTAACCATCAGAGCAAACAGGCTTTGAAAGAACTTCCCTTGGGATTATAGGGCGGGGGAGACCTTAACTGTATACAATGGAGGCTGACCAGTGTGTGGACAGGACTGTACACTGGTACACTTGCAGTACTGCGGACAGGAGTCAGTGACCTTGATAATAGCTTCTGCTCATTCCTCAATCAGAAGTAATTCTAATCTTACTTGTCCTATGAGTGAGTTAAGGAGGGATTTGAGGATGCAAGTTCTTGAGGGAAAGAAGTAAGCCCAGGGCTCCCAGTTTGCTCAAGGGCAGTCAGCACCAGAAGCCATGCCCACAGCGGCAGTCATGACTCCTAGCTTCATGTCAGACACAGATGTTCAAGTGAAGGCACACCTCCCCTCTCACTCCCCTTCTCAGCAATTTCACATTCTGCCAAATTTTAGAAAGCACCTTAAGTATTCCTCACTGAAACTATTCAAGTGAGTGTCTGAATTAAGTTTCAGACTCCTTTTAAGCACAAATCAATGCACAGGGATAATTTACAAGTTTTCCTCAAAGCCTGAAATCTGTAACTATTATTGCAAAGAACAACTTTATTGTCTCATTTTCTGCCTGGCATATCTCCCATCAGATACCTTATCTAAGAGCTGAGCTTGTGATGAGAGGAAAGCTTTCGTTTTACCTGCAATACATTTAATTACAATATTGCCTCTCATGAAAAGATGTACTGCTCATCAAACAGTTTCACAGACTGCTATAAGCCAGTATTGTTTGCATTATTGATCCCTTCTGTCCTGCATTGCTCATGGTTATATGACAACAATTAAATGCACAAGCTTTAGAAAGATTTACATCAGGTAGATTCAGCTTCTTAAATGATGATCAGAGAAAGTATTACCTCCAATTAGACAAGGCAATCAAACCTTTTAGGAACCAAAATTAACAAGTCATGAATACCCATTCATAGAAGGCAGCTGGGACTAGATGGCATTCACTTCAAATGCTGACTGGATCCGTAAGCCATCCTAAGCCATAACAGCATCTTCTTGGAGGAACCTATAACTGCCTATTACTTTATGGGCACCTGCCATGAGCCTTAGGGAATTCAAGAAGGCTCCTCACAGCACACATTTAAGATATACCCATTCATCCATTTTAAATACAAAAGGAACCATGAAGCCACCAAGTATCCCCTCCTGAATAACATGACGGGATAGACTCCAAATACTTTAGGACAAGATACATCTTCCTGCCCATACAAATACCATCGTCATTGTCATCGCACCAGTAAGGGTTGCCCTTAAATTCTTTTCTCACCTTGTTTTGGAAGATGCTGCTATTGAAGTACTTGCTCCTTTGTTTAAATTAAATGTAACTAAAAAATAAAAAGACATTACTCTATTTCTATCTTGAAATATAACTGCATTGAAGGATGTTACAATTTTAAAAATCTGTAAAAGGAAAAGATCATAAATTTGAACACAGTTATTAATCCGTGTTTTAGTTCGGCTTTTAAAATAAATTAATTTAAACATTATAAGAAAGAATATTCTGCATTTCCATATTCCAGTGCTCTTTATAATTGATTTCAAAGCACTTTATGAGCACTGAGCAGGTCTCAGCGCTCATCTTGTTTTAATCACAAAATCACCTTCAGTAGGTTCTAGAAAATTGCATATATCAAAATCTGGTTACCTTTTTCTTCTTCATTTTCTCTGCTCAGTTCAGTATAGACTGGCTTTTCCTGCCAAAAAAAACCACAAAACACATTTCACGAGTCAAACAGAAAACTGATCCAAGATATCATTTTTTGGTGATCATTGATTAGCTCAGTTTTACAGACTACTGCAGGATTATTACAAGTAACTGTAATATTCAACCTGGCTTGATTCTTAAGAAGATTATAAATTGAAAACATTATCTCATTACAGGCTCCTGTGCAAAATTCTCTAATTAACACTCTCTACAGAGATGCTGTCTAAACTTGCTTGATTCCAGCATGAAAGGAAAGTGGCCTTACTGTAGCAGTTTTTTATATTTGAGCCAGCATGATTAGACTGGTTTCTGGACAGACTGATAACTCAAAGAAGGAAATTCTGGAATCTTTCCAATTTTTTAGCACCAAGGGCTCAAACCATTTAAATTTCAATTAGTTTTAAATTAAGAAAAAGGTAATTGTTTACAACAGCATTTAAATGTACCTATCGATACCCAGGATCAAATGGGAGGTTCCAGTCCCAGGCAACAACGTGTATGGAAGTCATGGAATGACGCCAAATAAACAGATCCCAAATACCACACCAACATTACCAAAATAAAACTTCTCACTCTGCGGATTTCATTACGCCAGCTCCCCCTGGTTATCTCAGCCTCCCCACTGTACAAGGTACTTGTTATTTGCAGCCCTAGAAGTTGTGAAATACCACAAATGAAGACTCATCATGCTGGTTACTGTATTTACTCTCCCTTCCTAAATTCAAGAGTGATTTTTAAATCACTAATCACTTAAAGAGCAGTAATTATTACTCCGTTAGTACTAGAGCAAGCCAGGTACAAAGTAACTCCAAGTTTTCCTCCAGAGCAGGTTATAATTTAAGATAACTGTATAACAGAAAATTCAGAAAATAAGTGAGCTGACACGGTGATCCAAGCATGGAAGAAGTAGTTTAAATCAACGTCTGAAATGGCCAGGATCAGACACTAGGGCCACAGGGTACAATTCTAGTAGATTTCAAAATCACATCAAATCTAAAAGGAGCCGAAACCTCTGCTTTCTCTTATTTATTTATTTTTTGAAACTGATTCCATAGAGGACCTTAATGTCCATCGGCTGTAAAAACCACCAGCAAGTTGGTTAGTCAAGAAATGTAACAAGTTGCAATTTCAACAGAAACAAGCTAGTCAGGCTGCTATCAGAAGTATCTGGGAGAAGGCTATTCCTTGTGACTTAGAAAAGAAGAGCAATGCAGCCAAATATGCCCACTGCTCCCCAGTTTGAACTAATGATGAGCTTGTAATCTGAACCATGAAGCTTATTCATCACCTTCTAACTAACTGCAAAGGAAATACCAGTGCAAGGATCCCAGCAGCATCAAATTAACCATTAACTTAACCAAGAGGAGTTTTGAACTGAAGGTTCACATACAGTGCAATTTTCCTCACCAGTTCTTTTCCCTCCAAACCTCTTCTAACTTGCTGTTCAATGAATTTAGCAGTTTTTTCTTCATCATCGAGGTCCTGTTTCTTTTTCCTCTCTTGTTCTTGTTGCCTGCGAATAGTCTCAGGGTCCCTATCAATATATTGAATATACCAGCCTTTTGGAGTCTCATCAACCTTGCAAAGACCTAAAAAGTCAATACAAGATAAAGTCACATTAATACTCACAAAAGCAAGCAACGGACAAAGAAAATAAAAAAACCCAACATCTCCACAGTCCATGTTCACTATAACAATGTAGATACTTCACCAAAGACAACGTACACCTTACTGGCCTGGTAAAATTGACTTTGATTATCTTTAGGATCTGTTTCTGCCCTTCAGCTAGACGGTTCTATTCGGAAATAGGCCAGAGTACATAATAAAGTAGACTGTTTTATAATACTTTCCTTATTGAAGAAAATGTTTCCTTCCCACTGTTTTAACAAGGAAGAAAACAGAAATCTGACATATATAAACAATACACACTAATAGAACCATACTAAAGGAAACTTTACTATGCTATGCTATTGTTACTAACTCTCCCTAGAGCAACTTTTCAAACACTGTATGACTCATGAATGTATCCTGTAGGACACAGGCAACCAGAGCCAAAGTAACCTTTCTGTCATACCACATTTAATTGCTCTTCCTCCCACTAAACACAAAACTGCCAGGGATGAAAACGACCGCTCGCTTCTTATCACCTTAAATATGGAAGGATTCTGTAGTCATAAGAAATGTTCTATCATAGTTTTTAATTTTTAAATGACAACTGTCAGAAGTTGATTTAGAATTTAGCAATACCTCCAGTAAATATAGACTAAGAGATGAAACAAATATGCATTTATCCCAGACTTTTGCTTTTTTAATAAGCAAATTCCTAAAGGTTAACACAGAAATGTATTTGGACATCTGTTAATATATATACAGGAAGGGAGGGGAAGGAAAAGAAAAAGGAAACAGGAGAATTAACATAAATGTTTACTGATCATTCATCAGCAATGCAGCTACCCAATAATTTTAAAATTTCCCAACCCTGAGCAACTACATTTACCTTCTCTCCCCAGCCATTTAGTAAAATCTGTCAGTGTCTCCCACTGTGTGGCATTCATGTGGATGTGTTCTCGATGACTAATATATTCGTTGTACACAATATTATTGTGGACCCTCTTTGTTCCTGAAATACAGAATTACTATTGTTATTAAATATAGATATACGACCTAGGAGAAAGAAAACAAAACTTCTTGCACTGAACTAATAAAAGACATAACAAACAAACAAACAGTAAAATATTTACCAAATCGCCTCCTGAGCAGTTCTAGGAAATCATTTCGGAACTCCCTCGGGGGATAAAAACAAAGTATTTTAGTAAAACTTCAGTGATTACAAAGCAATGAAATATTTGCAGTGTAAAAATGAGTATTCTTTTGAACTAAGCGTAATGAAATTCAGACACTCACTTCCCTTTTTCAGTAAAGTAGCATTAAATGCAGTATGTATGCACAAAGAAACACAATATGGTACCTGCACAGACAAGTTAAATCTTCAAAAGGATAATACCCTTTCAAAGGAATAAAATGGAAAGAAAGAAATCTAAACACTTCCCACTAATTGGTGGTATTTCGTTACCAGGTATCTTCTCAGGCTGACTGCCACAAAACACACGGCAGGACAAAGGGCAGCAGTGGGAGATGGGGTAGATTGATCGCTCATCTCACTGCTAATTCAAGGGCTCGAGTATAAAGCCTCACTTCAGACTCGTGCTGAAGACAGCTCCAGTCAAGCCAGCTGTCACGTAGGTCAGCCGAACAAAGGACTGGGGGAAACTGTGGGACGTTAGTCACACCCCTGACTTGTTATCTCTGTAATGGTTCTTTTAGCTTTTTGTAACTCTGCATGTGTGGCAGTCACTTAGCTGGGGCAGAACGGTGACATACTTTGTAACATAGAACAACTTAAAATGGGACTCGGGGCATAAAACTATCAAATTTAACTAAACATCATGGCCCCCTGAAACCTCTTACACGCGTTCAAAAGTGACATTGCCTACGTTTTCAAGTCACCATTAAAAAGAATAGCTGATACTAAAATGTATCAGAATAAAGTGTCTTCAACAGGACGTGATTGGGCCTTACAGGTATGGCTGCGCAGCTGCGATACATGAATGAAGACCTGGGTCTTCAATATCGCAAATATAAAATATAGCAAACTTACTCAGAAAAGTAATCCATGAATTGCTGAGGATTTTCAGAAGCCAGCAGCAATTGCCTCTGGTGGGACTCAGACATGCAATGACATTTGAAGCCATTCTATAAAATACAAATAAAAACTTTGTCTTTGTCTCAATTTGCAACACTTGCACAGCTTTAGAGTATTAAAAATAATGTTTTATAAGTGAAATTTCTTGAAGACTCCACAGAAAACACCTTAACTCAGCCATAGCCTACATTTGTTCCTCCTGACTGGGCAAGCCAAAACCAAATGAAAAGAAGAGGAGGAAGCTTCAGAGAAAAAGTATCTCTTCATAACAGGAGAAGAAGGGAAGAAACTGAGCCAGAATCAGAAGGAAGGAGTCCTTAGCACAGGAAAGACATGGACCTGTTGGAGAGAGTACAGAGGAGGCTGCGAAAATAGTCAGAGGGATGGAACACCTCTGCTGTGAATACACGCTGAGAAAGTTGGGGTTGTTCAGCGTGGAGAAGAGAAGGCTCCGGGGAGACCTTATTGTGGCCTTTCAGTACTTACAGGGGGCCTAAGGGAAAGATGGGGACAAACTTTTTAGCAGGGCCTGTTGCAATGGGACAAGAGGTAATGGTTTTAAACTAAAAGAGGGAAGATTTAGACTAGATATACGGAAAAAATTTTTTACAATGACAGTGATGAAACACTGGCCCAGGTTGCCCAGAGAGGTGGTCAATGCCCCATCCCTGGAAATATTCAAGGTCAGGTTGGATGGGGCTCTGAGTAACCTGATCTAGTTGAAGATGTCCCTGCTTATTGCAGGGGCGTTGAACTAGATGACATTTAAACCCAAACCATTCTAAAATCCGATGAGTCTATGAAGAGGGACTTCACAGTGCTCCAGACGTGCATCCCCTTGGGCATGTCACCACACCCACCCAGTCTCCAAGGGAAATCAAGGCTACCCTCAACTCCCCTCTAAGGTGGATGGGAGCCACCTAATTCTTAACCCATAGAGGTGTGTATGAGGGAACCACCCTGTGCTCCCTCTCACCCTGGATTGATCAGTCACTCTGCAGGGGATTGAACACCCCAAAAGATGGATTAGAGCCAACACAATTTATTCCAAGCGGATGAGGACTTCTCCCATGGGGGAACCCAAAGGGATCGCCCCACCCCCAGCAACTGGGAACCCTCCAGGTCCCACCAATCTGCATTCAAGGGGACCGTAGTCCATACATGAGGGACTGGGGACCCCCAAAGGAGAGTAAGTGAGGCCAGTATGGTCCCTAGAAGGGTTGTACCCCACAGATGAGATCAGAGGCTCCACAAAGAGACTGGTGACACTTACAAAGGAATTCTGGACCAGCCCTGTACACCCAAAAGGGAACTGTGGAACGCTACAAGTTACCACATATCCCCTAAAGCGATCGCAGCCCCCCACAAGAGGACTGGGGACCGCAACAAGGGCCACGGGAGCCCCCACGTATCCCCCCTCAATGGCACTGGGGACGCTTACAAGCGGGATCGGAGCCCCCCCCAAGAGGACTGAGGATGCCAGTCGTGGGGATCTGAACCCCCTGTGTATTCCCAAGAGAACCGCCCCCCTCAAGGGGACTGGGCTTCCCTCCCAGGAGGGTCGGAGCCCCTCATGGCCCCTCACGGAGGATCACCCTCCCTTCCTGAGAGAACGAGGCCCGCCGCGCTCGCCGGCCGCAGGCCCGGCCACTGCTTTAGATCTGCCCTT